ACTTTGCTATTTGTCTTGTTGTATATCCATTTTGAAGAGCAAGAAGAATTTGTGCGCGCTCTTCTGGAGTTGTGTGGGCGTCAGTTTGTTGTCCAAAAAGCTGTAACATCATACGATATGTAAACAATACACAATAAACACGATATTTATGTTGCACGACTATGACCATTTGATTTTTGTATTTATCTAAAAATAGAAAATAATAACATCTATTAAAATTTTAATATATCGATATTAAAAACAAAAACAAATTATTTAAAATGCAAAAAGGATACATTATAATTTTCGTGAAATATTTCAATTCGACGAAAATTTTTTTTTGTTGAATTAATTATGATCGCCACTGTATATATTTAAAAGAGTAAGTATTTTCTCTGAGTATTTTAATTTCAGATAACTGAAATATTATATTTTCTGTAATTTTTAATATTGATCTAAAGGACTTATCATTACTTTCTGCAAGTATTTATTTAAAAAAATATTTTATTGAATTTTTAAATTCTGATTCAATGTATGTTTATAATGAATCTTTAACTTGAATAGAAAATTAAAAAACCAATTAAATCAAATTGATTGATTTGCTAAAAAAAATCGGTTTGAGCTCGAAATTTAATGAAGCAAGAAGACGTACAAAAGCGGGCGTGCATCTAGATTCAAATCTGGAGAAAGGTTGGATAAGGGACGATGCTAATTCATTTGGACTGAAATGACCGCATTGATACATGTATTTTGAAGGAACAAAATCCGCAAATTATTGAAGAGTCTAGAATTTGATTTTCCGTCGCAAATTCAAACAATTAGATATATGTATATATGTACAAGTGACGCTTGATTAGTAAATGCACCCGAACGATTAGTAAAAATTTCCAAAATTTACTAATAAATTTACTATATCGAGGGATTTAATAGACTTTTTTGAGCTTACTATATCAAAGATTTAATTAATCTTTACTATAAAGAGATTCATTTGTACATTATTAAATGCCGACTAGTTTCTGTATTATATTGTAATCTCTAAAAAAATAAATTTCTTATTTACCCTATTACATGTATTATAAAATTAAATCCTAATTCATGCAACTACCACATAATTTATCATCCTCGAATCATTCATCATGTCTATAGAATGGTGATGTGCTAATTAATGGTATACTTAAAAGAGATGGACCAGAACTGCTCGAATCAAGAGGCTGGCGAGATTCAACCGAAGATAACTTTGAAATGTTTAGGTTTGTTAACGGAGGAATTAGAAGAACTGGCGCGGATTTTTCAGTTTGCAATGGTTGAATTGATAAATTGTTCATTTGTGGAATTGACCGAGAACTTGGGGCTGGTGGAATTAGCGATTGTTGTGTTAAACTTTGCCTCGTTAGTTCGTTGAGACTATTTGATTTTCTTTCCTTGTTTCTACGATAAAAGAAAAACACAAGGCCACTTAAAAGAGCAACACCTAAAATTCCTCCTATGACACCACCTACTATCTTATCAGTTCTTTTCTTCGAACTTTTATTTGAGGAATGTGCGTTAGTTGATGAATTTGGAGTTGAAGTCGTTGGATTTACTGTTGATTCTGGTTTTTCTTCTTCATCAAATGATTCTACCCTTTTATAAGTATATCCATCTACGTCTATCTTGATGATCGAAATAGAATTTGTATTCGACGCTGACGTTTGTCTCTTTGTATTTGCATTTGATCTCATCATTGTATCCGTTGAATTGTCATCTTTCCCTAACAAAGAAAAAGAAGATTAGACTCTATATCTATTAACAAACATTTTTGGAAAAAAAATTACCGAATGCAACGATCATATAAGTATCATTGATAATTGTTGCAGTATGATAGTAAGGAGTAATGATAGATTGATCATCTTGCGAAAGTTTCATTAGAAGCCAATTGTAATTATTTTCATTTATCTCCAGAATTATTAAAGCATTGTTAGAATCAAGAGGTTGTTCTGATTTTCCACCGTAAACAATGATCTTATTTTGCACTTTGATTTATAGAATAATATTAATAACATTTAATGCTAATGGGAACAATTGAAAATTACCTAAGCATGCTGAATGTCCATATCGCCCGACTATGTTACTTGTATTAGGAGTCGTCTTTTGAAATTTATAAAAATTAGAAAAAAATAAAATGATTTTGTATATTTTTAACCGAAAGAAATTTACTTTTAAGCTCAAGCTATTAGTCGAAATATCGAGTGTCCAAATCTACCAATAAGAATATATTTAGTGAATCATTTGAAACAAAAAATGACGAACAACTTCATTTTGAAGATATGAGACCTGATTCATTGGTATTAAATTTCCATCTGAAGAATTACCGCCTATGTATATTGTGATATTGTAATCTTGAATGTATGTAGCAGTAAAACCACGAAATGGTAACTTAGCGTTTTCAACTTTTATATGTATGTCGGATTCCTGAGATTTTGTATTTGTATTATAAACGACCATTTTTTTTGGCTGGGGTTGTATACTATAAATGTATATGGTTCCAGATGAATCGATTATAGCATTCATAATATATGTTGATAGGCTATATAAGGAGTCCGAAAAAGTTGGTTTACTTGTTAAATCAATAATAAAGAAGTATTGAAACGTCATCTAAAATAAAACAAGATTTATGAAATTTGTCTTTTATACTAAAATACAATATGAAGTTAAAGCATTACCGTGCTGCTGTCATATGATAATACGTAAATTTTTGAATTATTTATCAGTGAAGTTGCGAAAGCTATATTAAAAGGAGCGGGAGTAAAGTTTTGCTTCTCAAATATTGTATTTAGTGACGACGTTAATTGAAGTGTAAAAGAATCATTTAAATTGGCATCATCCTCTAATGAATTTCCTCCAAAAAAATAAATTTTATTGTCAATGTTATTATAAGCCGCAATATGCCCATAACGTTTGGACGGAGTAAATCCCGATAGACTAACAACATTTAACAAAAATGAGAAAATAATGATAATAATTTTATAATTTAAATTCATTTTTCTTTGTAAAAATAAATACATGTATTGAATTTAAAAGCTTTTAAGTACATGTCATAGAAACCTTAAAAAAGAACATTGATAGAAAAGCTGGTAGCGGTAATACACATCAAAAATTGCAATTGAATCTCCATTATGGGAAATTTAACGTGCTGATCATTCCCACTGTTCATGTGCTGTCTTTTTATCTGTATGCATGTACATGTAAATACCGTATTTGTATTGTTATTTGCGATCTTTAATAGTAATAGCGATAGGAATAATTAATAAAGAAACAAGGCTTAATATATCGATATAGTGAAATAAATTTTACTTAATAAATTTAAAAGATTGATTACATGTACAACTAAACCGCACAATCTTTAGATCCGTAAAGAATGTATAAAATTCAATGACTTAATTAACATTTGCTTTTTATACATTGACATTATTTATAATATTAATTAAGTGAACGACTATTTTGTGAGCGAAGTCATGATATATATACAATTATATATCTTATAATATATAACATTAAATATGACCTACGATGCTTACTTTTTATAAGAAGGCATTAGAAAATTAAGTGACAAATCCTTTGCAAAAGACTTTCCATAAATTTAATTTTCAAATAATGCAGGTACGTACATTTATTTTTATACACAATTATGGTGAAATTTTAATATTTTCGATACTAAATATCGGTTTGTATGCTTCTAACTAAGGTAAAATTTCTATTACGTAATGTAATTTTTTCTGTATATTTCACTTTTTTGCAACCAAATTTCGACTTTAGTATACCATATGAAATCAATGAAGATGAAAGGATATCGAAGAAATAACAAATAGTACAATATCAAAAGAAGAAAGTTGCCCACTTTTTTAAAGAACGTGACCATTAACTATTTAATTTATGTTTTTAAACTAATTATTTTATATTTTAGTTAATTATTAGTTGACGTTAAATTCTAAAATATGACACTGAATCGAGATTAATATAACTGTAATTGAGTTGTACAAATATCTATTAATTTTATTCATAACCTTCCTAAATCTCTTATTTGAGAGTATACAGAGTGATAATGTAACCTTATTTGCTTTATATGCTAGTAAACAGTAAAATATATTTTCATATAGCAGCATTCCTTAAAATTATTGCCTACTTAATTTTAATCTCATGAAATCAAAGTTTTATTTTTTAACATGAAAAAAATCAAATGGCGCCTAAAATCTCCGAGTAAGATAATTTTTATCATACGTTATAACGTACATGAATAATGAATGTATGTAGCGGTAATGGTTCAAATTCTATGCGTGATAAAAAAACTTTTGTCCATGTTAAGAAAATGTGGAACTTGAAATCTTTTAACGTTAAATGTACATGTATATCGTTATTAGATTTCTTATTCTAATATTAAAGCAATTTGAAATATCATATTGAAGTACTATATATCGATAATATTTAGCAGATATTGAATGAACATAATAAGAGTTTTATTAAATATAAAAAATTAATTATCATTTACTTATTGTTATCGTTGTCTTTATTGCTATTGTTATCGTTGTCTTTATTGTTATTGTTATCGTTATTTTATCGTTATCGCTATTCGAATTTATAGTTTCCTTTATAAATTTGAACCTCAATCCTTTAACGTTAACGTTAATTAATATCAAATTAAGGATCAACATTACCAATTTAGAAAAAACTTATCATAAAGTCGATAAAAACTACAAGTACTATAATATACAAAATAAAATAATCAGTGAGAGAAAGGTACTAAATTTTGTCTAGCTTAGCAAGATTTAGCAACATATCTTGTGTCATAAGAATACTAATATAGAAGCGAAGTTGACTTTCAGCGATGATTTTCTATAGTAATAGTAAACTATGTAAATTTGAGTGTGTCCATCTCTTAATTAATACACTTGATCAAAAATTAAGATCGACCGTTATTATCTTGACAACAATTAAATTTACTAAATTATGAGTATTGTTCAATATAAAACACATTTATATTGATTTATGGATTACTGATTTCTAACTTGTAAAAATATTTAACAAGTTAATAATACAGTTATGTTTTATTACCATATTTTGCAGAATATAAGCAACATCCCCCATAGTTTTTGATGTGAAGGATATACAAATCGCATCCATTATGTTTGTAAAGATAAGGTTATATTGCGAGTTGATATGACTCGAAATATTATAATCGTGAATATCTATCATGAATTTCTCCATCCACATCCAAAGTAACTGTATTGAAATGCCTGAAGAACTATACGAAGAAATAAAAACATTCATATTTTACTATAGTAGTTTAAAAATCATCTGCGGCATCAATGATTCGATATCTTGGATCTTGGAATATTTATTTACTTCTGGAAGCCCATGACAATCACATTGAATCCACGTACAAACTACTTAATAAGCATAATTATAATTTTCATACAGTGTGTTACAAAAAAAACCATAATTTTTAATTTTTTCTATAAATATTTATTTAAATAATATAAAAATTTAAATATATATACTTAAG